TTCTTTCTCTCCCCTTGCTTTCATCCCCATGAAGTCCTAAGCAGCCTCTAAAATCCAACTGTGTAATTGCTTCCCCTGTGCACACTCACTCCAAGTCCAGTGGCTCCTTCTATTATTATCCCCCTAAATCACACAGAACTGTACCACTACCATACTACTTCACTGCAGATACTCCCAGACCTCAGTTTGTCTACTACACGGGGCAACGTGTGGGTTTAGCAGCACCAGCCACGTTCACTGTTCATCCAAGAGCTACGCTGTGCTCCCAGCAGCAGGCCTGGCAGAAGGGCTTTGCCTGGTGTCAGTACATGCCACGGGCAACGCTGGCCAGGGCTGACCTCACATCTGGCATTTAGAGAAACTGCTCCACTCCAGAAAGAGAACTGTGATGTTTTTCCAGCTGTTCAGCTATACCCACATGTACTCGCTTAATTAAGATTAAAGCAATTTACACTGACCTTTCCACATGTACAGCTATCTGTTACAGGCTAACACTTTTACTCCCAGTGATGTTAACAGCAATGGTGCAGAAAAGAGACTGTACTAAACCAGTGTAAGGGCAGAGTCTCGTTTTATAATTGCTCCTTCTCCTCTGTCCTATGCAGACTGTGATAACTGTGAAGACTTCCTACCCAGCAACTACAGGCTGAATAGCAGTCTTCATTTTGCCAGTCATCTCTCTGGTATAATCTGTACCTTGTTTAAAGCCCTACTTATTCCTTGTTTGAGATTCCCCCTGCCCCAATCTGTGATTCTGAATAAATGTAGCTTTTTTTTTTTTTCAGTGATGCTTGTCTAAAATGTAGGTGAGAGCATAAAAGCTTCACACAGTTCATATATTCTCATTCCTGTAATATGGGAATTTTACAGAACCCCCTTCTATTTTTTTAAAAGAATCCATTACTAAAAGAAAACGGGCTTTGTTGCCCCAGTAGGTGCCACAGCATGTGGCTAGCAAACACCAGCAAGGTGTCCACCCATGCAAGATATATAGCTTTCACTTTCCTTTGTTGCTTCCAGAGCTTGCTTTTCTGCCTTCTCCGTGTCACTACTAGAAACAATGACATCAGTGTTTTAGAAACAGCAGCTGATATCGCTGCTCCTCCCCACCCACCACTGAGCCTCAAAAGCACAATACCACAAGGAAGATCTGTCAGTTGGTTAGAGACACACAACACGAAGTAACGCTGTAAATTGAACAGCTTCTCAGTAAGCTCACGATCACAATTATCTGTCAGCTCAACACACACAAGTTACTTAGTGCTGAACACACAAAGCAAGACACTTAAGCAAAGATGAAGCAGCCAGGCAATGATCTGTTACCTTTTCCTCTGCGCAAAGGTATACAGAACTAGAGACATACAGAGCACAAACCTCTTTGTTATACCAACACACTACAGTTGTCAAGTCAACGCCACACTGCTGCAGCCTTCTACAGCTCATGAATAGCTCAAGTGATCCTTGGATCAGTTTGCAACTTTATGGACAGTTTCTAACATGAAGTGACAGTGTATGAACTTAGCTGGTGTAAATCAGCATGACCCCCATCAATTTTCAGGATGTTCTGTCAGCTGATAGTGGCCTAAGTTCTCTCCCCTGCTTAACAGGGGAACTTGCAAAGAGAGGTGTGGGGTTCTTTCCACACTAAGGGCAATTGCAAAGTTACATCCTCATCTGTAAACACAGCATCATCATGTAGATTACTGCCCTTTTAGGCAGGTGCAGTGGATACTGTGAAAACCAAAGATGATGCTGGCATGGAATACTGATGTATGTATCTTAAATGCCAACTTCCTTACCTTGTTACTATCCCAGTTTACTTTTTTATTGCTCATTTACTTTTTTGCATTTCACTTAGGTTAGCCATAGCCAATCTAAACAAAACATCCATTTTATTAGTGTGCACAAAGTTCTTCAGGATGTCATCTATAAAAAAATGCTGATGTGTCCAGACTGGGGACAGTGCAGAAGATGTATTGATTTGAAAAGAAAGCATTTCTATTAAAATGAAAGAGGTAAATATATTAAAAACTGTTGAGCTTCCCTGCTCCAAGACTAAACGAACCAGTGTTGTTTCGGATACCCTAAAAATTTCACTAAGGGTGCTACTTACTAAACATTCTGCAAAATGTAAGGGTCTGTGTGCTGTCAAAGATGGTCTAGGAGTAGCTTAAGTGTGCAGGTGACACTTGGTAACCACTAACACTGAAATGGTTGGCTGCTTGCTGACTGTGAGGATTAAAACCATCTACTCCCCAATACATGAAAAGGAGTGCAACTACATTTATTAAACTAAAGGACAATCTTCTCCAGTGGCCTCAGGGTGTATTAAAAATGACTGATACTCAACCACAGCATATTAGGTCCGCTTCAGTTTATCACTAATATTTATGATGAGGTTTGTAATGTGAAATGGCAGTTTAGCCTCATTTAAAAAACACTGCAGTTGCCGTGTGACTTGTTAAAAAGAAACGCCAAAACAGAAAGAAGAATTCAGGTGCTGGAAGATACGTGCCATGGAGGCATGCAGACCTCCGCCTGCAGGTGGCCAGCTAGCTTTTACAGCAATGATGCCATAAACAAACAGGGCAGCAACTTCCTCCTGCAGACCAAAAAACGCTCTGGAAAAGTTTTGCTTATATTTACAGTGAAATCCTCTTAGTTTGACTGGGTTCAGGACATTATCATACATGACTACAAAAACACTCATTTCTTAGGAGTTCTATGAAGAATTTAAAATACCTCTTATTTTCATGCAGAAACCTTATTTCTGCAAGGTGCTCAACTGAGAGTCAGAAAGAGCAAGCCTACGCACAGAAAGGGATGTCATAAAACCAGGCAAAATCAATTTCATATGACACTGCTAACGGCATTTTGAGTATTCCAGGCCCTTTGCAGGGGAGGAATAAAAGTCATCTCTCTGACGCCGAAGCCACCCGTACCAATACTGAGGCTGTCAGAAGGCTGCTCTGGCACCGGTATTTGTCCTTTAAACAGTAAACAGCCACCAGATACTAACAACTTGCAATCTGTGCAGGATGTCACCTAGTAACCTCAGTGGGTAAAGTGAGTATTATTCCCTCCTGTAAGGTGGGACTTCTTGCTCATTCTTGCCTGTGTGTATCTGAAAGTTAGGCGTCTAGGCTCCCTCCAGGGCCACAGTGAAAACCAAATCCCCCGAGAGCGACTCATCCCTTTCTTCAGTGCTAACTGCAAAAGCAGCATAAATCGCTCTGGCTAGAGGCCCAACTTTTAGATGGATGAAGCGCAGTGAGACAAACCTTACCCTCAGTGTTTAACCTGACTCCAAGACACCCCCAAACCACACCGGATTCTTTTTGTGAAAGGTGAGCCAAGTTACAGCGTCCAGCTCACACTCAGGTATTTGTTCTCATGCTTGCACGTACCTGGTTAGGTGCTTCTGGTGGCATGGGGGATGGCGATTTGGACTGGAAAGCATCCTGGGACATGAATCCAGAATCATGGGAGGACACACTGGACAGCCTCATGGGTGCCTGCTGAGGCAGATTGGAGCTGCGATAGCGATAGTGTGAACTAGGTGAGTGCGAGTGCGAGCCACTGGACCGGGAATCACTACTGTTAACGCTGTTCAGACTGCTGTGAGAGACAAAAGGAACAAAGAAAGGAAAGGGGAGAGGAAAAGACACAAGGGCGGGGTGGGGAGAGACCCATATACAGTACAATTAACATTCCACATGTCTCTAGCAACAGGCAGCGTAAACCGGAAAGGAAAAAATGTTGACAAATTATAAATTTAAATATATATATATGCACATATATATCAGTAAAGAACCGTAAGCAGCTGCAGTATCCCTTCCAACCAGAGAGAAAATGGCATTTTACCTTGAATTTCACTCAAATGATCAAATTCTGTAACCACTCAGAGCTCAGTCAGGTTAGGGACGGAGGGATCGCTAATGCCCTCTCTAGCGTTTGCACAGCACTTGCACAACAAATGTCTGCTGACGGCTCTCTCCTATTCCTGACTTACACCTTATTGCTCTTGCACCATGGCCCAAATTTTCCATGGGGTTTCTAGCAAGAGGTCCAAAGGCATCGCAGTTCATGTAGAAGTCTGCTTCTAGGCATGCTGTTGCAGTCAAGTCAGCAGGCCAACGTGTGAGACTTTTGAAAACATCACCAAAACCCATGCTTCAGAGTACCTGGGACAAGTTTTGCTCGCCTGAAGGCTTTCTACCAGAAAGAAAACATGTAGTGGCATATTGAGTGAAGTCAAACCTCTGGGTATGCAGCTTTAGTTAGTAAGAAGGACGATCAGAGAATGAAGTATCCTAAATTAATATCCATGAAAAAAACCCCATTGATTTTTCAAACCAAGAGATTGATTTTTAACCTCCAGTATTCATGAATGACAGCAACGACATGCCAGCTGCAATGTGGGAGCCTTTGAAGTCTCCTGCTGGGGTGGCTGAGCAGGACTAGCAGGATGCATCAATCTGAAGGCAGCTTCCTACCTTCGCTGGCAGGAGCCCACCGCCTAGCTGAAGGGATGGCTCTAAGCAATACATGCGTGAGGACTGCACCTCCTGCTCACAAATTCCATGTAACACACCAGATGTACCAGTCAGCTTGGAGCAGGGGAAGAGGAGTTCTGCCTTATTTTACCCATACACCACAGTTCGTTGCCACGCAGGTTTTACCACACGAAAAGGCGAGGTTAATTAGGAACAGATGATGGATTTTGGGGGTTCTTTTTGCCATTTTCTTTTACAGCTTCAGGATATTGCATCTTTAAGCCTGTGCTCATTGCTCTCAATATGCATGTTTTCACATATATATATAAAAGGACTGAAGGTTTTTTTATATATATCTGCATGCAGAGACAAGTAGGTACATAGAAGAAGTCATGTTCACTTGCTCTGACATGCTATAGGTAACTGTTCATACATGGGGAACCTGCAGTACATTATTCATAAAGCAAACTAAAAGGTAATCATTCGAGAGCAGCTAGAAAGGTGTTGAGCAGAATACACAACAGGGTATCTTCCTTTTCAGTGAAAGGAAAGAGTAAATGTAGACACCAGGGTATGGGGGCAACATGCTAATAAACTGTTTTATGAGAGAAAACAGTTTTTACGGAGAAAGCATAGACAGAATCCAGTGTTTCAACATATTTCAGGACAGCATTAGACAGCATTAAACAGTCAAAAAAACTTGTATCAAAAAAGCATTTCCATCTACCAGACTGATAGGGCAATTGCCAAGGATGTTTTTCCTTTTCAAACAGTTTAACTTACTGATTAGCAACAGCTACTTAGAATAATCTAAAATGTCATCACATGAAAAACAGAAAAGGAAATTATGAATGAACAATCTCAGAGCTTAGATCAGTACAGTCTGCTCTTTGATCTGAAATGGATTCAAGAGAACTGAATCAAAAGCATCTTCAAGTTGTCTTGAGTTCGAAAGTTGTTCAGTCATGCCCATCCTTTTTAATATTCCCAGTCACACACTTAAATGGATAAAGACCATGAGGGACTGATTTCATTAAGAGTTGTTATTTAAGATTTAAGTATGCATACAAATCCATACCACAGTCTGAACTTGCCTCCCTTTGCCCCCAAACAGGTTTAAATTAAGTATTACCAGTCTACTTACCTGCAAACACTAGATTTTCTGGACATGGTAGTACTGGGAGAGGATGGAGGAGTCTGGTAAGACCAGCTGTAATCAGAACCTTTCAAATCTAAAATTACCTGATGAAAGATAATCAATAGCATCAAAGAAAATTGTGGAAATTTTTTTTCTCTATAAACTGAAAGAATTTGCTTGTCATACAACATTTGTCACCACTACAAACTTTCAGTGACAATTGACCTAGTCTCAATTCTCTTCCAGAATTACATTGTGTAGATCCCACAGGAGAGTCAGCTTCACCCTTGGGTTTCCAGGAACTACCATACTTCAGCACTAGGGCTGCTATCACAGAAGGAAAGTTCAGATTTGAATAGGAAAATCTTTAAAAAGTAAACTGGAGATTTATTTCATGCATGCTGTAAGCTGTGCTGTTTTGTTTTGCTTTTTCCTTAAAAAAAAACTATTACAGCTTTAGACTTTAAACCTGTTGCATTTTAAAAAATGAACTGAAGATCCAATATTCACCACAGCAGGGCTTCTCCCCCCCTTTACACCTCTAGGTCAGTGACACGGTGATTAGGGTGTGACAAGAAAACTGAGTTCACACAGCAGGGCTGGAGAAAAAGGTCCTACCTGAAGTCATTTAATGATTCACATTTTCCTATGCATTTTAAGGACAGCATGGAAAAATGCTCAAGTATTAGACTCCCTCAAGGTATCTAATCCCAGCAATCTTGCAACTGCATGAAGAAAGGGATGTTCAAATGCAGGGCGAGGAGATGACACTCATTCCTCATGTACTCTCAGCAGAAATTGGGCACCTTCATACATACTTCAGAGTGTTACTTCTACCACTTCACATTGGTCTCACCTCAAGGGCAGTCAGTTGGTACTTCAAAATAATTTTTTAAAAATTGCTTATGTTAAATATGACCTTGCTGCAGTGAAGCATCTACAACACGTAACATTAAGCCGCTAAATGCTACCAGCCAATACTCCTCATAACACAAAAGGAAAACCGGTACAAGCTACAGATAAAAATGTTTTCCAGGTAACAAGAGCTAACCTGTTCACTTGAAGACGGCAGTTTGTGTGGATCCATGGTGAGACTTTTCAGGTCATCTGATATGGTTTGTAAATGGGTTATTTCTCCTAGCATTGATATTTCTTCTTCCTGAAAAGACAAAAGAGCGAGGCTAATCACAATCTTGGTTTTAAAAATCAGGCCCATAACACAACACATGACTTTTTTGGTTTTCCTGATGACTGTGGGAAAGCCCAGCGGAGCTGCTTTTTCTTTGCCTATTAAGCAATCACTTATTATGAAAAAGCCTTGAAAATATTAATTTAGAGTTTTATAACTACTTTAACTCCTTTAAGTTCTGAGGCCCAGAAATCTTTTCTCTCATCACTAAGATAAATAAGCCTCAGCCACCTTCTTGTGACATCTTCAGAAAAAGAGTGTAATTTTTGCTGCATTTGGAAAAGATTTAACTCTTCTATGTATACTCTCTAATATGCCCTAAGGATTTTATCCTTTAACAGGGGTTAAACGCATACTTTTTGCAGTTTTTGGAAACTTTGAGATAAAGGCACTCTACAGGTACAGAGCATTAATTTGTCTGTGATTCATCCTGGCTGAAGCTACATCAACAGCTAGCTCAGATGACTCCTGCACCCTAAGTTACCATAGCAATCTCTTAGCTACCATGGTAATTCCATCCAGGTCCTCAGAGTCTGGAATTCACCTCCTCCTGCTTAGCCATCAACTCTCCACTTCTCTAATCCATGGTTTTCTGTTGAGACTGATGCTCTTGGTAAACAAGCATTGGGAACATTTTCCCAGTATGATGGAGACCCTTCAGAAATGCATCATGTTGCACAAAGACAGAAACGATTCATCGCTGGGCTTCAGACAACCTGAGATGATGAAAATACACTCAAACCTTTTCAATGAACTGAAAAAGCTGTCATGTAGGAGGAGAAGAGCTGCCAGAAAACTGCATGGAAGCAGCCTGCAATCTGTCAGATAATGTCATTACATACACAGGGGAGGTCTTGAAACATTTATCAGTCCTAGCACAGAGTAGGAGTAAGGAAGCTTTGTATTAAAATGTGATGTTAAGAAAAAAAGCAGTGGGAAAAACTGCATTAGCAATGAATGGCTCAGGTCAGTACGCACAGGGAACTCAAGCCTACCTAAGTTTTATGCCCATTGTTTCCCCATTAGTCATCTTTAAAGTACTCAGTGTCTTCAGTCGCTGAATTACTCCAAATGCCTACAAGAAAGGTTCCAACTCTTGCCACTTCCTAGGCAGAGATGCAGGTTGAATTTTGGCTCTAGAAATCCATTCCTAATGAGCTGCTCTTTTTAGAGGCTTCTGGCCACTTATCTAATTTGTGAATTGTACCGACTTAAATGGAGAGCTCTTACTATCACAGGCCGCAGCATCGAGATGAAAGTACAGAATCGACCGCGCTCCTCGATCAGAGCTTTTCTGACAGCTTGCTTCTCGGTTTCTTCAAGCAGCAGGTACTTATCATTGACATCTTGTAAAGCACTGTCCAACTGGGGCTGAATATCACCCCGTCCTGTATGCAGGAAACAATCAAGAGTACATTTTGTCAAAACTGTGGGTCTCCACAGAGGAAGACCTTATTTTCCACCAGCACTGCTGACGGATTGTGCTTTTGAAATTCAAGTCTCACTAGCATCTTCCCTTAATTCAAATCAGTAAGGGTTTTTTTCCCCAATTAAATCAAGCATTTCATAGCATTTATTTTTCCCCGTATTGCAAAGAACAGAAATCCAGCTCAATTCAAAAGGTTTCAACAAGCCAAAGGCAGCATTTCACACACGGACTTCCACCAAGTGTTAGCTACAGAAATCCTTCACATCGTCCTTACTGAAAATCACCGTCTTACTAACTGGGACATAGTATTAATCACTAACCTCAGCTATATTGCTCTTCCTTCCTACTTTTGTGCTTAGCAAGGTCCTAATGCCAACTTTGTGGAGTCACTAAATGAGTGAATGAATCTCCTGTATGAGATGGTATTAAGGACATGTTACTGATCACTGGACCACTGGGTTCACATACTTCACACAAGCAAGTGCTAAAACAGTCTTCTTCTGGAGTCCAGAAGAAAAAAACCCAACCAACTATCAGCATCTGAAATACATATTGATGTCCAGCATTTTTCTATGGAAAAAAAAAATCCAATGTTTTGCAATCAAAAAGCTTCACTGTATTAATTATAGTCAACTCATAATACCAAAACTTTCTGTGACAGTTAAGTACCTTATTCTGCACCAACTGCTTACTCTGCATCACACCAAAAATTTATTCCTCTAGGAATGAATTGCTGCTGCTTAGCCAACAACACTGCAGTTGCAAGATGTTTTCATCCAGCTTATATCCCTTAATATTTTAAAGAACCTCAGTTGTGTAAATTTGTCTCAAATCTCCGGGAAACACCATCACATGCAAATTAAGTATCCAGGTACAGACCCATGCTACTGTTGCTAAACACCAGGAAGATAATGTGAAAAATGGTGGGCGAGTTACAAGCAGCTACCCAAACCCAATTTTTATGGACAATAACCTTCCTGCATGGAGGACTTAAAGCTACAAGCAAGAGGAAGAAAAGAAGTCTCTCAATGTGTGCAGTATGCAATGCAGATGACTCAAGGTCAGGGTTACAAAGGAAAACCTTTGCCTTATTTCTTCAATACTCCAAAGCGAGGTGAAGTCATCAGCTCCCCTGCACCAACTCACAGCCAGAGCTGCAGGAAAGAGAGCAGCGATGGAAGCAAAGAGAATCACGCTGGCTTAGTGGCATTACAGACTGGATGTCCCCAAATCTCCTCTGTGCAGTTAGTCATAGTCCAGATAAAACTGCACGGATACCCACAAGCAAAGCTCTGCAATGGATCCTCAAAGAAGCACGTGCAGGGCAACACCAATACAGCCACCGCCAAAGCCACCTGGGTACCAGCCTCCCAGCAGGAACACACAGTGTCTGATCCTGTAGATCAGGCTGACTGGTGTAATGTGGTCATAAAACTGATTTGGAAGTAAATAACTTCAACAATAACAGACTCTGAAGTTGCGTCACCTGCTTCCTCTCTCAAAATTAGCATCTTCCAGAAAGAAGCTACAGAGTTTTAGGTAACTCCCTGAAGGTCCTGTGCCTTCTCGTCTGTCATCCTTAGGAGACAAACCGGGCCCTTCTGCTTGAAGACCATTCTGTACATTTGAGGCCCTTCCCCATACTCTTCTTTGCTATCAGATGCAGCAATTAAACATTTTATATTTCTCTGGAGTTGTTCTTTCAAATTCCTTATGAAAACGAGACTTGCGTTATTGCTCAGACCCCTTATTTTGAGACCTGCCTAGAAATTACAACAGGTGAAATCACCTCCTGTTTCTCAACCCTAGATACTGGCTCACTTCTGTGGATGTACCCAACGCAAAATATGTTAGTTGCAAACTAAATCACACGCTCATTAGTTCAGCTCTGGAGAATGGCTGTAAATGTTCAGCTGCTCCACCACATGATAATGCACTTAATGCAGTAAATCCTTGTAAAATACATTCGCTTATGCAGTGACAAGATACACACTTAGAAAGCAACTGGGCTCCATTGATAAAGTGGATTCAATTATAGTGAAATTTGGTAATTTATGTGGGACTCACAGAGCACTGCATCCGGGACCTGAGCAACAAGAGCACCCAAAACATGGGGCAAACATAAACCTCATTTACACCTGTGTAACTCACTCAAGTCAACCAAGTTATCAGGATAACGCTCAAGCTGTGTAAAACTGCATTGCTCTCCAACATCTTCTGTACCTCTATGAAGTATGTACCCTGCGTAGTGACAGGACATGGGGAAACAGCTTTATACTGAAGGAGGGTAGATTTAAATTGGATGTAAGGAAGAAATTCTTTCCTGTGACGTACCCTGCGTAGTGACAGGACAAGGCGAAACGGCTTTATACTGAAGGAGGGTAGATTGGATGTAAGGAAGAAATTCTTTCCTGTGAGGGCAGTGAGGCAGATTGCCCAGAGCAGCTGTGGCTGTCCCCTCCCTGACAGGGCTCAAGGCCAGGCTGGATGGGGCTGGGAGCAACCTGGTCTGGTGGAAGGTGTCCCTGCCCATGGCAGGGGGTTGGAACTGGGTGATCTTTAAGGTCCCTTCCAACCCAAACCATTCTGTGATTCTATGATATGATTCTACGAAGTTTCCATTTTATTCCTTTAAGTGAGTCAGGACATTAACAGACAAACCATCTCCTCACTGCTACTTTCATGGATCCATTTTTATGCTACGGCTCCTGGGCACCTATCTAGCCAGTGAAAACACACAAGCCATCCAGGGTATAATCCAGAACAGGAAACAAGCTTAGGAGAATCATTTAGAGGAGGCTCTGAAGACAGATGTTTATATGGCATGAATAGAGCTCTCTCCTGATGTCTCCTTGCAACTCATCTTTTAGGAGCAGGAAAGCTTTATTAACGTCTTTTGAAAGCTCCATAATGCAGACAACAATCTAGCAAGTCTTCTGAAATCAGGCATAGCTCTTCCCACTCCCTGAATTGCCAGCTGCCTCCCATAGCACTCAGACAGCTCGGGAATTTGAGGGGTAAGATCTCTGCCCAATTTAAGCAGCTTCCCTCACTAAGCAGAGCAGATCACAGCCCCTCAACAGGACTCCTACACCCAGAGGACACCGAGGATGTGAGGGCCAACTGCTGATCACCTCTGCTCCTCACCCACCTTGGGTCTCCACTAGTTTGAATCCACTACTTATCTCAGAAGGGAACATTGACCACTGGAGAGCAATGCAGTTCTTTTCCACTTTGAATGAGGATGGGAAGGTCACTTGTCCATGGCACCCTTGACAAGTGATTGCACTATTGTTGCTATGGACATGAGGCACACTTTTGTAAGGAACATCAGCATTATTATTCTCTCCAGCCCACATTCTCTGGCCTTTAGGTGACCCGTTTAAGAACGTTTCCAAACCAACACAAGCATGTAATGCCAGAAAATAGTTCCAGAACAGTCTCATCACAGAGCAGCTATAAAAGTGAACCTGGAGGGACACTCCTACCCCAGCTGCAGACAGGTTTGGATGACCCACCAAAGCAATCAGCATTAGCAACAGTCAAAAGCACCACATGTAGTCACAGCTCTCTGGCCTGCAACCAGCCAGACATGAATGTGATGTAGGCATGGCTCTGCAGAGCACGTCCGGTTGCACAGGGAAGAATGAGGCAACAATCTGACAACGAGGAGAAATTCAAATCCAGCCTTTCTCAAAGTGGAGCTCTGGTGTTGCAGAGAGGAGCAGAAATGCAAGACCAGAAGTTGGGGACTGACTTCTCCAACAGCATCATGCTCCAACATGCCTGGGGACTTGCAGCTTGACACAGACAAGTAACAGCTAATGAACTGCAGAGAGCTGAACTGCCCCTCATCAATATTAACATGAATCCAGTTCTATTCTAAGGACAGCCTTAACATGTTACCCTCAGAGCGAGTGCTTCCCATCATTACCACAACGTGCAAGAGCTTTAAAGGACCAAGGTGCATTAAAACCTCAGTTTTACATTGTTCTGTGTGAATCCTGGCTGAAAGCCTCATGCAGCTTCTTAAATAACCATTGCTCAAAAAGAACTTTAGTAAAGGAAATGCTGACAGCTTTGCTAGTTCAAGTTGTCTTACAAGACATAGGCATAAAATTGGGTAAAAATTTTCCTTCTCCCTAATACATTTCCTTTGTATTGGAACACATTTCCACAGCAAAGGAGAACAATGATTTTTATATGCTCTCAGTGCAAGTCTGACTACTAAAGTTAACGCTGTTATTGTCAAAGTAACGCAGCAAATACATTATTTTCCATATTCTCACTGAAAGCGTGCTCCCTTGCACTTTTTCAGGTGCCTGCACAGAACTTGAATATTCAGTATTGGACACTTTACAGAGTGACAGAATTGACACTGTTTGAGACAACGTTGAGTACGTGTATACTTGGTACAAACCAAAACAGGCTCCAATTCATTCATTCCCAAATCACCTTCTTTACAAGAGCATACCTGCTTCAGCTGCCAGGATGAATAACCTCTCTAAGTCCTGCACTGCAAAGCCAACAAATAAACCAACATGGGTATAGGTTGAGAACAGAAGAATTCTGCCACCATTTACGGAAAGGTGGAAAACCTGATGGCTGGGGTCAACTTCAGACACCTTCAGCAAACAAATCTGAGTCTTTCTGGTGGCTACTGGAGATCCAAATCAGCTGCTAATGTTCAAAAGTGCTAAGTTATCCCTTAGAAGAAAAGCTCCAAGTTACCAAAGGAAACTTCCAGATTGAATTACAAGTGTGGTTTCAAAAAAGGGGACAAGCAGCAGGCACCACAGCACACACTCCCAATCTAATCAATCCAGGCTTCTCCAAAGGGCAACATCTACATCATTACACCTACAAGTGGAGGTATGATTATTTGTCTCAACTTCAGAAATACCACGTTTCATTCACAAGAAGATCTCAAGGCAGCTACTTTAAATTTGCAACACAACT